AAGCTTGTGTTTAGGAGTATAGATGGTGCGAGCATTCTCATGGGTTGCAGACCCGTATTTCATGTGGTTCAATCCGATGTTTAGATGCTTCTTGGATTTGTCTGCGTTTGTAAGTTTTGCTTTGTCGGGGCCTTAGTTTTGCATCGTTTTGGAGTTGCACAAGGCCTCCATAAAGAGGCAGACCATCGTCCTTGAAACTCACATGACTATTCTCATCCGTGTCTTGGAAGTTCGACTTCTGCTGCTGTCATGAGCATCGGCTACTAGCTTTTAAACTTTAACCTTAAGCCCGTAAATCCTTTTATGAGTGTCGGTTATTACCATCCCGATCGAATGAAGGCTAGGACTCACTACCGAAGCCCAGGCCGAACGACCTGCTGCCGCGGCCGAGGCCCTTCCGACATTCCTTTACTGCAACTGTGCTTGGGTTCGCCCAGGTCAAGGATACATATCTGGGACCGGGGAACACAGAGAAGTAGAAGTAAGCAAGGCTGACTGTAGAATCACCTCAAATACTGTCCGTGTGGTGTTAAGTACGAAAAGTCTGTGTCCCTGGATCCTCCAGGCAGGGTTTGGTGTGCTAACGTCACCGTTTGTGACAGCCACGGTAGTGTCAGCGGCGCCTACTACCACTAGAGAAGTCATTCTTGACATACCCTAAACCTTTTGCCACCACTACCCGTGGGGGGTTTTAGGGTTTAGGGTTTAGAGTTTCGAAACCTTAAACCCGAAAGTGCCGCTCTGGCCCCGTGTCGCTGGAACAGCATCAGTCGGGCCCAACATGAGGAGCCCTGCCGCGATGAGGCGGCTCTCTACATAATAGTTATTGTGCAAGAGTGAAGTTCAATTCGTTTCGGGAAACCGAGAAGGGTCACTGATTTGTGCAACTTTTCTGTGTTTAAGCAATCAGAAAGACCTGGAAGTCACTCGGCACACGGACATTGAAAGGACACCTTGATGTTTGTGTCAACTTGATTTGTCAGTTTACTCAGCCGCCCCTGGAATCCCGTGGAGCAAAATCGAACGCCCTGTGTCCAGACACTGCTCTTGACGTGTTAGTTTTTCTTTCTTGTCTGTGACGTGTCATGCTTCTCAAGATGAGGCTTATGTTGAGGAGTATAGATGGTGCGGGGGTTCTCCTGGGTTGCAGACCTTTATTTCGTTTGCTCTACAACAGCATGTGTGCATGTCTCTTGTGCTCTGAGGGTTGCATGCAAGTAGCTGTTCTGATCAGGATGTCGTATCAGTGAGTGGTGCCAGGCTTTTTCACTTCAGGCATCCAAGTTTTCATGGTCGTGACAGACTTCCTTCTGACGCTGGCAGGAGACATTCCCGGACGGCAAAGATGCTGTGCCGGGAATGTTCTCCGCGAGGTTCGATGGCGGAGACATAGAACACAAGTTTCGGCGTGTTCACAAGATCCTTCAGGCACTGTCTGGAACATGACATGATCATGTTGGTTGCTTGATCTGGCACCAAGTTTCCACTGCAAAGTGTTTGCGTCATGAGTGATGCCCGACCTGCAAGGCGCACAACTTCCCGGTCTTGATGGTCGACGCCGGCATTGGTGACAACTTCGGCAAACTAACACAAAACTATTTGAACAAGATTGAGAAAGAAAAAGGTGTCTTGATTTGTGTTTGCACAGCTCATTATGCCGAGAAGACCAGCTCGCCATTCTCCTCTTTTCAAGAGTTACAGTTCGCGCTAGACTACAGTCTGGATGTTCTCCCGCTGAAAGTGGCAGACGTCTACCCCCCGAAACCGCCTGGCGGTCCAAAGCACCCGCACGACCAGGATTGCGAAGCAGAGGCCTTGATTAAGATGATCTTCAGACCCAACCTCGCCTACAAAGACACTTGGACCTTGAACTTGTCAAGAAGAACTTAACTCGCCCAGCTCGTTCGAAGGACATGAAACGGCGCATGTCAAGAACAGGCCTCGTTAGAGAATCCTGCGCAACCCAGGACTGCCGCAAGCTGGATGAGATGGAAATTGCCCGGCTGATCGCAGACAAGTTGCTAAAGAAGAAGAGCCTCGCCATGAGAAGTTCGTTGTCCTCGCACGGATCCTTAAACCCTATAAGCCTATAAGCAGGAAGGAGAAGAGTCTTCAAACACACAGTAAATACTATGCAGGTACGTCTATACCAGCAGGCCCCGCCTGATGTCGCAAGCACAGCCATGCCAAGGCAAGTCTCGGGACACGGAGGAGAAGGAGGCTCGCTGGATCTCGGAGGGGGGTGTGGGAACCACACCACGAGGGTTTCAGGGTGCAGGGCGCAGGGTTCGTCGGGTTTTGGAGTGACTGGTCTCTGCCAGGATACATTCAGCGCTGAACGTCGCTTGACCACTCCGCCTCCCGCCCTGTACAGCACGTCAGCTTTGATACAAGCTGCTTATGCGTCCCTTCGCCGCGAGCCCCAGACAATCCTGAGAATGTGTAAGCAATAGCAATAGCAACAAGAAGCACTGTTAGAATTTGTGTCTGCAGCACTGACGTCTAGTTTGTACAACTGTGAAGACAAGCTCGCAGGGAGGTTACTGCAAGGAGGCAGCGCTGCAGACACTGAAGGGACGCAGCGCAGAAGCAGGTAATTCGGCTTTTTTCTGAGCCACGTTGAAACCAATCCAGACTAGTACGAAGTACGCACGAGTTGAGTCTAGAGCCCATTTGGGCCCTTAGCCAAGAAGGCCGTCATAATGGAGCCACACGTACGCAGGCCGGGCACTGCACAGTTTGCAGGCTGGTTGTTTTGGGTGGTTGTAGGGTGGTTTGGATCTCAACAGCATTGAGGGATGGGGTCTAGGATGTGGGGACTTAAGAGCTCGGCCAGTAGGGTTTCAATTAGGGCATCCCCACATAGACTGTCTTCCATTCGAGCTCTACTGAAGTCCTACTTAGAAGTCTCCTTGATTACGATCCCTTTGGCAGCAGCTTTGCTGTGAAGATAGATCGAACAGACAGCTCACACGGCCGACTTGATCCATGTGGCTCTTGCGTACTCTTTTGGGCTTGTTACATTTTGGGGCCGGGGCTACTGTCTGCAATCGAAATCCAAAAGGGCTGAGAGAGACGCACTCGAAATGTGATTTTCAGCGGGTGAAACCCCTCAGTGTCGATGAAAATGACATGGGTTTTGACGAGGTTGCTCAGATCCTCCCTTGCTTGCCAGAATCCTGGCCTGAAGGATCTCGATCCAAGAACACAAGATGCTGAATACCCAACGAACTCGTCGGAGTCGGGGAGAAGGAGCTGCAGACATGATGGAGATTCCTTGAGTTGACAGCTGCCGTCTGCCGTGGAGGTATTAAACGGCATTAAGCTGTAAGCGTATAAGAGCCTCACGCTTGACCGATCGGGTGCAAAGTTGACAAAGTGCGGCGCCCAGGAGAGTTCAGTGCCTCGTGCCTAAGAGTGACAGGGAGCTTCGTTCTGCCAACCGGATTCCAGGGTTTTGCGGCCCCGTGTTCGAGACGGCAAGCACTATACTGAAAGTTTCATGGGGTTCATAGTCTCATAGGGCTTCGGAGCAAGTTTCTGGATCTTTTCCGGCACTGGCACTTGCAATGTATGGAAGCCTTGCCAGAACGATGATTTCCTACACCCTTGCTCAGAACTCCAATTTTTGAGCGATTTTACTTTTGTTGCCCTTGTACTTTTTATTCCATTCCCTCTACAAGCCGTAGCTGTTGACGACTGGCTACAGCCGAACTCCAGCGTCGCGGTTTGCCAACTCCTTTGCATGCAGGGTTTAAGGTGGTTTAAGGTTGAGGGCAGCCTTAAGTCTTGACCCTAAGCGCCGAAACCCTTCAACGCCGGCGCCCATATTATGAACCCCTGAATGCAAATCTCTGTGCCCCAGAGCTCTGTGAAGCTGCCTTAACTTCAGACATCTTGGCACTCTCTGTCCCCCCCGGCAGCACACTAAATTATGCTCTTTCCATGTTCGGCCTCTGTGTTAGTGTTGGGAATGAGCAATCGGGAAAGTACCCGCATTCAGAGGATCTTAGGAAACCCTCCGTAAATTCGAGTACTAGCGGCGCGTAGCTTCTAGAGACATCTATCGGTTCAGATTCCGGCTGCAGCCTGGGGTTCAGGGATGCGGGATTGAGGTGTAGCGGTTTAGGGTTCAGGGGTTTCAAGGTTCCGTGAAACTCGAACTTGAGGCGTTCAAAGTCTAAACCCTGAACCCTTTAGGCCCCAAGCCCCAAAACCCTAAAACCTCTCAACAAGGATTCCCCCAAGCCCTAAAACCCCTAAAGCCCCATACTAAACCCTAAGCCCGAAAACCCTATAGACCCTAAACCCCTGGAGCCATGCTACTTCCCTGGCGGACGGCGTGGCTGCCGCTCGCTCCCCTGGCGTTTGCGCTGCGCGATGTGGGGCCCAAGGATCGCTGCTTGGAGAAGGCGCGGAACCTAGGCCAGGCGTTGCCTTTAAGGCTCTCAGGATATAGGGTTTTAGAGTTTTAGAGTTTAGGGTTCAGGGTTTTAGAGTTTAGGGTTTAAAGGAGGTTTAAAGGGTTTAGAGCATGGAGTTTTAGAGTTTAGGGTTCAGGGTTTTAGAGTTTAGGGTTTAGGGGTTTGGGCTTCAGGGTTTTAAAGTTCAAGGTTCAGGGTTTCAGGAATTAGGGTTCAGGGTTTTAGAGTTTAGGGTTTAGGGTTTGGGGTTCAGGGTTTAGGGTTCAGGGTGAAGAGGGTGCAGTACCTCCTAGCAAGGACAATTTCATCTGGGTTTGAGGCTTTAGGGTTGGATGTAA